ATTTCGTCTAAAGAGGTGAAAATAAGATGTTTTTATATTTCTCACTCAAAAGATTTTTAAACTCTTAAAAATGCAATATCCTCTTTTCAAAGCACATGCCATCTTAAAAAAAATCTTAGCAATGTACATTTGCACTCAAAGAAAAACATGCAGCACCACTGTCTTCTGACAAAATTCTGCATTAAAAAACCCTATGCAACTTTTTGCAAATATGTTCCTTCTTTATCATTCAGGGACTTCAAACCACAAACATTCAGTGCAATATTTATTGTTTCTTATTTCTGTAGGAAACACAGGACCAATGATGTCTTCTGACAACTGTTTCCTGATGATTTGTTGGGTTTATAGGATCTGAGGATCCTCAGATCCTATAAACCCAACAAATGAATTCCCAAACAATCTTAACAAAACTATAGAAGACCAAGAAAGCTTAAAAGAGACAAAGAATAAAGACGAGTCACCTAGAAAGGATGGCCAAGTCCTCAACTTCCCCAATGGAAGGCAGAAGTTATGGAGTCATATCTTCAATGTGATATGAGAAAATAGCTGTCAGGCTAGGACTCTACACTCAGGAAAACTGCCTTTCCAGAAGGAGGGCAAAATAAAGATAGTTCCAGCCAAACTATACAACCTGAGAATTTATTTCCAACATACAACCACCTAAAGAATGCAACTTAAGCAAAAGGAAAATGACCACAGATACATTGAGATGTGGTGGGGGGCAGGGGCGGAGAAAGGTGAGCAAAGATATTGATCAATCTGTGGACAAATCTAAACAAACGTTGATTGTACAAAACCAAAATAATAATAATGTCTACTTTGTGAAGAAGGAAAAACTAAAGCATTTAATAGCTAAGCATGGTGGCTCACACCTATAATCCCAGCACTTTGGGAGGCTGAGGCAGGCAGATCGCTCGAGCCCAGGAGTTGGAGACCAGTCTGGGCAACATAGTAAAACCCCGCCTCTACAAAAAATACAAAAATTAGCCAGGCATGGTGGCATGTGCCTTTAGTTCCAGTTGTTTGGGAGGCTAAGGTGGGAGGATTACTTGAGCCTGGGAGATTGGGGCTGCAGCGAGCTGTGGTGGCGCCACTGCACTCCAGCCTGGGTGACAGAGCAAGACTCTGTCTCCAAAACAAAAAAAGCACATAGTAAGGTGGTGGTCATAAATCCAAATATGTCAATTATCATAAAAGAAAAGGGACCAAACTTTCCAGTTAAACACAGAGACTGTGAGATAAGAGAATAAGACATCAACGTCCTTGAAGCAAAGGGAAGCATTACTACGTTGAGGTCCATGCTTCTCCTACCCTTAAAACACTCATCCTACCCTTAAAACACTCATCCTTCAGGATGCGACCCAAACCACAGTAGCCCTAGCAGATACCCTTTGTTTGTAAACTTGTCTAGCTGTCAACAGTTTCCTTACTTAAAGATTTAATTTAAAAAAATTAATTTAAAGGCTAACAAAAATTTTGCTCCATAATCACCTTAAAACACATACAGTTCAGCCGGGCACGGTTGCTCACGGCTGTAATTCCAGCACTTTGGGAGGCCGAGGTGGGCAGATCATCTGAGGTTAGGAGTTTAAGATGAGCCTGGCCAACATGGTGAAACTTCATCTCTACAAAAATACAAAAAGTAGCCAGGCATGATGGTGGGTGCCTGTAACCCCAGCTACTCGGGAGGCTGAGGCGGGAGAATCGCTTGATCCCCGGAGGTGGAGGATGCAGTGAGCCAAGATCGCGCCACTGCACTCCAGCTTGGGCGACTGAGCGAGACTCCATCTCAAAAAACAAACAAACAAAAAAGCACGCACAGTTCTACTATCTACATGCCAATGTCATAAAAGTCACTTAAACTTCAGGTAAGGAAAGCTACTTTCTGGAAACATGAGACAGGTTTTCCCAAGACACATGAACACCTTGCACAAAATGTCCACATATATTACCGCCTGCTTATTTGGTAAAGACTAGGCAGATTTGGGCATGACAGGACACCAATCCACAGCCCAGCACTGGGAAGCGCTGCCCTTTGTGGCAGAAGTTCTATACCGGAGAAGTTGAAGCAGAACCTGTTTTCATCCCTCTGCCAGGTGATGCCTGTTCTCATGAGCCTGCTTAGAAGCAAACAGCAGGGTAGGCATGGAAGTCGGACTGGGAAGGAAGGTGAGCTCTGTGGTTCTTGGCAGTGGGGGACACAGACATCTTACTTGAGTGGGGAGGCCTAGCCACTTAAAGGTATCCAATGGTAATGTCAGAAGAAGAAGATAAGGGAAAATACATACCCCTGCAAATAGCTTCCTGGGTTGTTAGAACACTATGATTTCCTGAAAAAGCTATAGATAACTCTTCTTTTCCTTGTATATCTTGGAGACCTAATACATACTCCTAACAAATGATGTTGACACAACGTACCACACTGAAATCTTAGGCAGAAAAAGGCAGAATGAAAATTATATTCATACAGTTTTGGATTTCTTCTGGGCACATATTTACAATCTCTTCTCTGTGGGTGCGTGGGCCATATCAGCTCCCCCAGGAGAGACAGATACATAGTACACCAAATTATTCATAGTGGTACTACTGGTCGAGATATAAAGTCGTTAAGATTTTCTTCTTTCTACTTTCCAAATTTCCTGTAGAGCATCTCCAAAAATTATATAATCAGAAAAAAAAGTTAAACCTGAGTTATCCAGTTTTACCCTCTTCCCATACTACTTTTAGGTTGACACTTGCTATCTCAGCAGTGGTAGGTAGGTTTCTTAGGTTTAATTTGTTTTCCATGGGTAACCCAACCAAGCTACAAAGCCTACCCAAAAGTGACCTCCTGTGGCAACATTCAGTTTTATCTGTAATAAGTCAACCTTCAAAGCTTTTTCTAAAGCAACAAACTCCAATTGGTCAGACAGAAATGTACAGTATTTTCCTTTGCTAAATGTGACTTTTTGCATCAAGCAAAGAAGCCACAGATAATGTCAACCGCATGTGTTATGTATTACCTGCAAGGCTGTTCTGAGGAGACTGTCAGTTGGGGGCTAGAACATGAGGATGACAATGATGTGTTGTGGAAACACTTGGAAAAGAGAAAGGAGGTGACAAAAAATCTGAAACGTATGTCCCTAAAAAGCTTGATTTTCCTGACAGAGGGAGCAGGGGTGGTTGAGTGCAGATTGCTTGAAAGGAGGTCTGAACAAAACAAAACAGCATCTCAACCCCAGCCATTTACTCTGTTTACTTTATTCTGCATTTTTTAAAAGTAGGAGTTGGCAAATAGCTATCTATTTGAAATGGGGAAGTCTGTATATGATGAAAGATGCCATTTCAAATCAACAGAGGTGGATTATTTAATAAATAGTTTTGGAAAAACTAGACAGTAGGGTGGGGGGGGTGCTGGATTCTTATTTCATTCTTTATTCCAAAATAAATTTCAGATGGAAGCAAACTTGGGACATTAAAAAAGAAAAAAATATACAAAATTATGGGAGAAGACAAATTTTAAGAGAAGGATGACTCCTACATAAACTCAGAAGCCATAATGCGAAGAAAAAATAAACATGACTACATAAGAAGGTTTTTAAAGTCCTGCAGAGTACAAAAAAGTACAAAAAAGGAGAAGAAATGAAAAAACTTGGAGAAATATTTGCAACACACATGAGAAACAGCTGTGATCTCTTGTCTATGCAGAACTATAGACAATCCACAAGAAAGGTCCCAGCCAAGAGAACAATAGGCAAAAGATCTGAATAGAGACCCCTTTCATGGCAAATCAACATGCCCTGGTAAGGGCACTACCCTCACCCACAGCAACCTGAGCTCACAGGAAGAGGAGGCCATAGATCACCTACCTGATCTGGAAGTAAACTGCCTGATAACCCACTGTGTGAGCAAGGTTGTGTAGAAAGTCACCGGCATCCATTCCTGATGGAACGTCAACTGGTATATCTCTTGGAAAAGACCATATTTTGGCACTGCCCATCAAACCTAAAATGGCTCATGCCTTTTGACTCGGCAATTCCACTTCTAGGAATGTATCCTACTTGCACATGTGTACAACATGTCAAAGCAACGATATTGCTTCAGAACTGCATTTAAGAGTGCAAACAACGGCACCTACAAATGGGTAAGAGGGGGCCTGACTTATAGGAGCTGTGGTACAAGCACACAAGGGAATATTGCACAGCTGTACAACACAGCTATGGAATCATTGTTAAGATACAGCAAGTGAGTTTTTTAGAAAAGCACAATGAAGAACTGTGTACATCACATTGCCATTTGTGTGAAATAAATAGGCAGATATATGCTTAAATAACACAATTCTGACACTGGAAATAACAGTGGCATTTAAAGAACGGGGATGGGACTGTACTGTCTGAATTTCTGCTAAGAGCATGTATTATATTCTTACACTATGTATATAAAACCAAGGTTGGGGGAGGAAAGAAAGATGGTCAAACAAATTTGTGGAATCTACTATTCTTTGGGCTGAGTAGCTGCCAAAATAATGTTTTCTGGTTTACAAAGATATCTGCCAGACAGAAAGGCCATGTCCTATACTACCAATTGATATACAAAGCCTCCAAAAGATAACCCCAGAAAGATAGAAAGTAGATTCCTGGCTGCCAGGAATAAGGTTGGGGGAAGTAAATGACGAGTGACTGCTAATGGGTATAGGGTTTCTTTTTGGGGTGATAAAAATGTTCTGGAATTAGACAGTGACTGTTGCACAGATCTTTGAATATGCAAAACACTGCTGAACTGGACACTTTAAATGGGTAAATTGTACATATTTGGAGTTTTTTGTTTTTTTTCTTTTTCTTTTTTGAAATGAACTCTCGCCCTGTCACCCAGGCTGGAGTGCAGTGGCATGATCTCAGCTCACTGCAACCTCCACCTCCCAGGTTCAAGTGATTCTCCTGCCTCAGCGTCCTGAATAGCTGGAATTACAGGCATGCACCACCAAGCCCAGCTAATTTTTGCATTTTCAGCAGAGACGGGGTTTCACCCTGTTGGCCAGGATGGTCTTGAACTCCTGACCTCAAGTGATCCACCTGCCTTGGCCTCCCAAAGTGCTGGGGTTACAGGTGTGAGTCACCACGCCCGGCCAATTGTACGTATTTGAATTACACTGTAACAAAGCTGTTATTATAACCCAGTTACATCTGAGGCTAGCTCCTGTACCCCTTTGGCTGGCTTCTTTGCCTCTAACCTTCCATCAGGCCAGTGCATTTGCCTCATTGAACGCAGATTCCATGTGACTTGCAGAACTTTCCAAGTCAACTGCAAGTAGATACGACTCCAAAATGTTGCTCACAATCTTTTGCAGAGGACACTCAGCGTAATTCAACCTTGATTCTTGGCCAAGGGCAATTTTGTGAACATTACACACCGTACAGTAATAGGCTAAGTGACACAGCGCTGCTCTCCACCCCATGACTGCCCATCTAGGGTCTTTGCAAGTTAAATTTCTGCTCCCGTTTCTTATATATTTGTGTCCCCTCCCTGGCCACAGCCACTTCCTGCTGCTGACAGAGGCTGATCTCCAGCTGTATGGTCTGTTCCTTCTCTTCTGTGCTGGGAACCCAGGCAGCCGTTGGAAGGCAGCTTTGAGCAGAATGAACAAGGCTCTTCTAAGAATCAGGGCCTGTGTTTCCCTGCAAGAGTGTTAAGACAACTTTCTGGGCTACTTCTAAGCTTTTGCGTTTGATCCTAGGTCCTCAGCTGGGTTGCAGGCAGATGAGGGTGCCGAATGAGGGACAGGCTTTTGATGTCAGACATGCCGAAGGCTGATCACTTGTCACTTTCATCACACCTCTATTAGTGCACATTTAGAGCTTCCTCGCTTCCTCACTGGACTGGGGGGTGGGTAGAAGTCTCTCCTACCTCTCCCTTATAGAGGTCTCTACCTACACAATAAAACTCCCCTCCCAGCCTTTTTTCTTCCCAGACAGCATCTGCAAAGCTCTACAAGGTCATTGGGTCACCAAGCCTCAGTTTGCAGCATTCTCTTATTGTGCTCATCCTTGATTGTGAACACCCTGTACCCCGATTGCTTGTTAACACCTGGAGTATCTCTGCCAAGCCCTTGAGATGTGCTACTCAGTACCACGTTCTCACACCACTAGGTGCGTCATCACTGCCATACTCTTACTACCAGGTTGTTAACTCTCCTTCACCTCAGTTTCCTTTTAAACTTACTTATTTGATAGTCCAGTAATTGTTCTCTTATCCCCAAGTATTGGCTGCCTGCTGCCCTGTTGTCTGCACGTGCTGGGTGTGCGTGGACTGTGTTCTCTTGGTTTTCTAACTTTGGATCAAGCATCGGGTCAGGTTGAGCAGGGAGCACTCACTGAGCAGCTAGGATTGTGAAATTCTCCCTCTGCAGGGGCTCTGCAGCCTGGAGCACATTTCCGTGTGTATTCCACTCCACATCTGAATGTGGCACAGGCTCACAGGCTTGTGGTTTGACTTCTCATAGGTGACTATTTCCTCCCCTAATCCAAAGGCCGAGGTAAAGACGGGCTTTCCCCTGGCTTTTGGCTAGAAATCTGGCTTTCAGCCCTCTTCTCTTCTTCTTCTTCTTCTTTTTTTTTTTTTTTAGAGTCAGGGTCTCACTCTGTTACCCAGGCTGGAGTGCAGTGGTGTGATCATAGCTCACTGCAGCCTGGAGCACCTGGGCTCGAGTGATTCTCCCGCCTTGGCCTTCCAAGGTGCTAGGATTACAGGCATACATCACCGTGCCTGGCTTTAGCTCCCTTCTTTATGGGGGTTTCCACGTGAGCATTAAAACCCAAGCCACCAGACTCTTCCTGGACCTGATGCCCATCCCCCAAGCCACCAGACTCTTCCTGGACCTGATGCCCATCCCCCAAGCCACCTGGCCATGGCTTTCAGCCTCTGCTTTATTTCTTGGTCTCAGATATTTCCCTTTCTTGGTATTCTATGTACAGAGATTTCTTTTAAAAAAATTTGTTCTATTTTGGCTACCATTTCCAAGTGCTGTTAATTAAAAGACTTATTTTCCAATTAGGCTCATTACTTTTATAATCAGAAAACAATAACTTAAAAAAACCTCAAACACATCTACCCTTTGCTGAAAACAAAGAAACCAACATATACCTATTGTGTCTGTGTGTCTCTGTGTATATTTTCTTCTTTCCTGAATGATGAAATATTAACAAAGATGATGGGTTTCTGCTCTGAAAGTGAAGCCTGTGGTCTACCTACTTGCTCATTAGCAAAATAAAGTTTTAAGTAATTTACAGCATGCTTCCTTATCTAATACATGGCAAAAGGAAAAACCAATCAGCAGATGGAGAAATCTGCAAGGTGTAGCCTGCATGATACCTTTTGGCTCCCCCTGCGTCAGGTGAAACAATGATACAGTTCTTCCACTCGGCAATGTTTTCCCGAATCCACTGCAGGACTGCGGGCTCCGCATACAAATTATCCACAGGAATATCAAAGAATCCCTAAAGGGAGAAGTGAGTGTCATGTTGCAGGGTTTTGTTTTGTTTTGTTTTTTCCTTTTTTTTTTTTAAAACAATAATTGCTTTCATTAAATAACATTTGCATTTTTTGTTCAAAAGAAGCTTTTATAACAGACGCCCTTTTGTTAATTTTAAACAGAATTAAATCAAAAGACGGATATGTTATAGGGGCATATTTCAGTCCAATCTGTCTTTTGGGACATATTCTATTGTCTTATGATGGCCTATATTCTGAGGAATAGAATGGCTATGCAGGACAGTGAGGGAAAAGGTTTGTTGTCTCTTAGGTATTTATTATAAATCAAATAGTTCACGTTCATTATATAACACAAAGTGGCACAGTAAAATGTGGCCTGTTTTAGAGACAAAGAACATAAGTTATGAAGAAGTTAAAAAATGTATATTATGATATTATGACTCCGCCATTCTAATTATTTTCCATAAGCTGAGATGGAACTACATAGAGTTTACTACCAAAAAGCCATCCCCACTCCTCCAAAACTGATTGGGGGGCAAGGTGCTGATAGAGACTGGAAGTACTAATATCAAATTATATTTCCAAGTTTAGTAAAGACAAAAATCCAAGAGAGTAGCCATATATAAACTCAAACACAAGTAATGTTACCTCTTCTAAGATTATTTAATTTAACAGACTTGATTTAACCATTTGCAAAAGGAAAACATGGATACCTGTATCTGAGAGGCATGCAAGTCCATGGTGATGATGTGATCCGCCCCGGCCACCGACAGCATATTGGCCACAAGTTTTGCAGAAATTGGGGCACGACTCTAAAAATAAGAACATTAATTTTATAACAGGAAAAGATGGATACTGTTAGATTCCTCCCATTAGGACGTACATGAGAAAGATAAATCATAGATGCAATCAACGAAGCATCAAAAAGAAAATTATACATGTTGTAACAGCAAAAGATATATTCGTTCCATCTTATTCAGCAAACATTTACTATTTACATATACCACTGCAAAACTAAGTGCTTGCCGCTGGGTATAGAGAACAAGTATAAAAGAAGCAAACAGTTCAACACATGTACATGTAATGTCACAATATGTATAACTGAAATCATGATAAGTGTGTAGAAATAAAAGGTACCGACAGAGTGAGATGATAGTAGTAGGAAGGACATAAAGTTTAAACAAGATCATTATTAGCGGTCCCTCTGAGGAAATCGTTTCTAAGGCAAGTTTAGCAAAGGTTAGGAGAATAGTGTTCTAGAAGGACCGAGTGGCACATGTGAGATCACTGAGGCCAAGAGACCCTCACACAGCCAGAGGCTAAAGAAGTCCAGCTATTAAAGAGGAATTCATGTGCCAACAGTTGGATGTTAACACTATTACAATGGAAAAAAACAAGGTCAAAGAATGAATACTGTAAGGGGATTGACAATAGTTACTATTTAATTTCATACTTAGTGTCATTTACTGACATTACATTCTTTGTAAAACTACCTAACTTCTCTATAGCTTTGGTTTCCACATCACAAATTATGGACAATACAACTGCCCACATCGAAGAAATTCAAGCGATTATACAGACACATGATTAGACCTAGGTGGCGTTCAGCATTTTGTTGTAAACAACAGTATTTCTATATATCAGCCACAAAAAAAGAAAAGCTTAAAAAAAGATTTCATTCAAATGATCTTTGTTACACACACACACACACACACACACACACACAATACATTCATGTAAAAACACATGCAGGAAGGAATTACATAAAAAATGTTAACAGATTATTTGTTTTACCGAATATAGCAACTTTTTAAAAAGAAATATATATTTTATCATTAAAAATAGGTATATATGGGGTACGGTGGCTCACGCCTGTAATCCCAGCACTTTGGGAGGCCGAGGCAGGTGGGTCACAAGGTCAGAAGATCCAGACCATCCTGGCCAACACGGTGAAACCCCGTCTCCACTAAAAACACAAAAAATTAGCCAGGTGTGGTGACGCATGCCTGTAGTCCCAGCTACTTGGGAGGCTGAGGCAGGAGAATCACTTGAACCCGGGAGGCAGAGGTTGCAGTGACCGAGATTGCGCCATTGCACTCCAGGCTGGGCGACAAAGTGAGACTCCGTCTCAAAAAAAAAAAAAGTATATAAGTATGTTCAAAACACAAAGAAAAGAATAAGAGGAAAACACTCTAAAAAGTTAACAGATGTTTCTAGAACGTGAGATTATAGGAAAATATATTTTTCTTGTTTTTTATTTTTTCAATCTTCTCCACTAATTAGAGATCATAACTCATGTTTTCATCATTTAACTCCCCTGTACTACATTCCACGTTGCCTTTGGGATAAAATCGAATTTTCTCAGCTTTATTCTCTCAAGTTCTCCGGCTAGCCTGGCTGCAGCCTCCTAGGAACAGCTCCTTTCCTACACCTCTGCTTCAGGAAGCCTCCCTGAAGTCGGCCTTGGGATTGCTCTTCCTCCTCTAGAAAACGCTTGAAGTCTGGCCATTATACCCACATGCCTGCCTTGTCCCTATTCCACTGCCTCTGCCGAGCCAATGTGTTTGATCCTCCAGGTCTGGTTCAAATCTCCCAATTTTAAGGCAGAACTCCAGGAATCATCTCTCCTTTCTAAGGGGGCACAGAATTGGTAAGCATTTGGCCCTACCATTTGGGACTGCCTTGTGATACCTGCTGAAAGATAGATGTTCTGATATATTATATGTACAAATGTCATAGTTCACAATTAGAATACATCCATCAAGGGCAAACAATTGGTTTTGGAGATTTTCACACCATCCGCAGAACACAGTTCCACACTCTGCATTTGATAGTTCTTCAATAAATATTTACTAACAGATTAACACTAAATGTCCAAGGCTTACTCATTAGCCTCACTAATTATGAGAATTATTTAGTGTAACAAAGTTCCAGGACAATAAAAAAAGCAAATCAGTTGCTACAACTGCTTTGTAATAGAACCTGATTTGCAACGCTAATCAATTTTGTGCTTTTCCTACAATTGTCGAATCAGTTACTACGGGTTGAATGGTCCCCTCTAAAATTCAGGTGTTGCCAATGTGATAGGATTAAGAGGTGGGGCCTTTAAAAGGTGATTCGGCCCTGAGGGCTGCTCCCTTGAGAGCGGGATTAAGGTCCTTCTAAGGGAGGCTTCAGGCAGCATTTTGCAAACTTGCCCTTCCGTCTTCTGTCATGTAAGGACACAGCATTCTTCCCTCTGGAGGATGCAGCCCGTAACAGACACCAAATGCCGGTGCTTGGTCTTGGTCTTCCAGTCTCCAGGACTATGAGAAAATACATTTTTGTCCTTTTTCCCCCCCTCCCACGACACACGTTCGAAGAATATTTCTTTCTTTTTTTTTTTTTTTTGAGACGGAGTTTCACTCTTGTCGCCCAGGCTGGAGCGCAATGGCATGATCTCAGCTCACTGCAACCTCCACCTCCCAGGTTCAAGCAATTCTCCTGCCTCAGCCTCCCGAGTAGCTGGGATTACAGGCATGCGCCACCACGCCCGGCTAATTTTGTACTTTTAGTACAGATGGGGTTTCTCCACGTTGGTCAGGCTGGTCTCCAACTCCCGACCTCAGGTGATCCGCCCGCCTCGGCCTCCCAAAGTGCTGGGATTACAGGTGTGAGCCACCACGCCCGGCACCAAAGAATATTTCTGTTCTTTATAAATTACCCAGTGTGTGGTATTTTGTTACAGCAGCACAGACTAAGGCGCCAGCAGAAAGAATCCTCCCTTCTCATCTCTCCTCAGTGGCATCCAGTGTTTCTTAACTTCTGGGATCCAAACCACAGGGTAATTTCTAAATTCACACTTTCTGATTTTCTTCTTCACACCTTGTTTACAAGTTTGGTTTTTGTTCTGTGTCTCAGAGTTCGGCTCATACCCAACTGAATCTTGCAGGAAAAATGATTTACTAGTTAACTGACTTGCTAGCCTATACAAAGAAAAGTACAGCATTGAAACAAAGGTAGAGTCAAGGTACAGTAGCCAAAAGTAAAACACTCAGCTCCCCTAGTGAAAAATGCATAAAAGTCAAATGTTTTGCAAGTCAGCCCAATCATGACAGAGTCCCAGGCTATTCCAGATGTTATTCAATGCATCAAATATCGCCTTTCGAAAAGTGTAAATTTGACGGGCTTTTAAAAAAATTACAAGACTGTAGAAATTCACATCAGGAAAAACTGTTCTCAATTTCTCTGGTACAAAAAAGGAAGCAAAAGAAAATTTTATTGAAAAGAGAACATGATCTTGAAAATGATTTTGAAAAAAGAAATCCCCAAACTACAAGTCCTTTACCCGCCTCAGAAGTCATTATTCCCAGCCTTGCCCACAATCTACTATTTTTTTCTTTTTTTCTTTTTTTCCTTTTGAGATCGAGTCTTGCTCTGTCACCCAGGCTGGAGTGCAGTGGTGAGATCTCAGCTCACTGCACTACAACCTCTGCCTCCTGGGTTCAAGCAATTCTCCTGCCCCAGCCTCCTGAGTAGCTGGGATTACAGGTACATGCCACCATGCCTGGCTAATTTTTGCATTTTTAGTAGAAATGGGGTTTCACCATGTTGACCAGGCTGTTCTCGAACTCCTGACCTCAGGTGATCTGTCCACCTCGGCCTCCCAGAGTGCTGGGATTACAGGTGTGAGCCACCATGCCCAGCCCAACCTCCTGTTTTTACCAGGGAAGGGAACCAGCAGTTATTGAGTGTGTTCTATAGCAGGGACTGGCAAATTAGAATCCATGGGCCAAACTTAGCCCACGGCCTGTTTTTGCATAACCAGTGAGTTAAGAATGGTTTTTACGTCTTTAGATGGTTGAAAAACAATCAAAAGCAGAACAATATTTTGTGACATCTGAAGATTATATGAGGTTCAGATTTCAGTGCACATAAAGTTTTACTGGAACACAGCCATACCCATTCATGTACACATTGACTAACGGCTGCTTTCACACTAAAATGGCAGAGTGGAGCTGCTGCAATAGACCCAGTGGCCCACTGACATTGACATCCAAAATGGCATCCAAAATGACATTCAGCTCTTTTCAGAAAAAGCCTGCCCACTCATGTATTATGATATGGTAGGTACTTCATAAATAGTAGCTAGTGCTGTACTTAATTTACAGATAAGGAAACTAAAGATACAGACAGTTTAAGTAACTTTTACAAAGGACAAACTGAGTAAATAATGGTGCTGGAATTCAAATCTGAGCCTACTTGATTCTCAATGCCAGAGCTCAGACCACTTGGCACCATGTCTTTTACAATTAATATTACATCATCATCATTTTTCTATGTTAATATTATAATGTATGGATGTGTCCTAATTTATGAAACCATTCCTTCGCCATCAGAATCTGTCCCTGGTGTCTTGTACATACAAAGAAAACCCCAAATAAAATGTTACGTATGTGCAGGGCTTGCTTAAAAAGCAGCAACAAGGTTTACAGAAAAAAACAAAACCAGCTTTGAATCTGGTTAAGAGCTTCTAGATTTTTTTTTTCTGGGCTTCTTTGCAAGGAATTCCAAGTAGAGCAATTACACAGAATTTCATTGTCATTAGACGTCATAGGTAATACAGTCCTAAGGGAAGGAAAAAGCACAACAGAAAGTCTCGGAGGGCTGCCCAGAGCTCCTCATGTGGCTGCGCAGGGGAATTTTCTTTCTGGGATGAGAGATCAAGTGTAGCCACAGCTTCTCATCACAATCTAACACCACATGGCCTTATGCCTTCCTAAATGAAGCAAAAAGGTAGAAGTGCATTTCCCCTACCCCTCACCCCCACCCC